CCTCCGGACTGAAACGGACGCGACAAGGGACGACGCACGCCGTTACGACGTGTACACACGCTCGGTGATCGGAAACGAGCCAGCGGCAACCGGTGCAAACCGGATACACCCTCGAAATTCTGGGAACGAGACTGACCGCCTGGCACACGGAGGCGTCGCGACGCTCCTGAGATCGAAACGATGACGTCCGCGGCCTTTTTTCCCCGGCACGATCGCGTCACTTCGTAGACCCTCTGACGCTCTCCGCCGAAACCACCGGAAGCCGAGGACGCCAAACATTGCGGCATTTTCCCCCTTCGTCTTTTCATCTTCTCTGCCAATTGTTTTTTCCCCCTGTCCTTACGTCTCTCGTTCCTTTTATTAGATTCTCCTCTTTGATGCTCCCATTTCTTATCTCTTCATATGCCATTTCCTACTGCAATTTTTTTACCACTTAAGTGCCATTCTCGTTCGGTAAACAGATTCTACGGGATGTTTCGAAGGATGAAGAAACGGCAGAATGTAGATTGAGAAAAATTTGTGTCGGAGTACCTTTCCGTGTCGTGTTTCCTTTATGAGTTTAAACTTGGAGCCGCAACTGCGGCAGCTCACATTTGCGGAGCTTACAAATGTAATGCAAGTGAATGAAAGTGGTCTACAGAATTAAAAGACGGCTGTGAAATTCCACGTGCTAATAAAGCTTCTTGATTTAATCGGCTCAAACCTAATCTACTCTCCAGAATATTAACTAAGAACTCTGACGGAGCTCCACTTAAAAAACGTTCTCGAATTCGCGAGAATAAAGGCGCAACAAAATCAGTGTCTGTTTATAACTTTTCTAGGGCACCGAATCGATCGTGGCTCGTTCGATTCAGCCCGATTCTGGCGTTCGTCGACGATGACCCGTGACCGCGTCGCGACGTCTACGAAACGGATCGAGTCATCGGTACGCGTGTCTCTCGAAAACGCAAGATCGATTGCGACACAGACAAAACGAAAGTAAGAAAAATGCTGCGCGAGGACTGACAATCCGTGGCCGGATAGTCGGCCCAGGCCCGCTTGCCGGCTGAAGCTGAAATACGAAAGCGCAGGCTTGGCACGAGATAAATGTGGGTTGCTGGAGCACAACGGCTACAAACAGACTGCTGCTCGCTTCTCTGATGAATGGATATAATCCGGCCGATTTATCAGCGAACGGGTTTCCCTGGCCTGGAGATTAAGTCGCTCGTTTATCGATACGGTTTAAGCCACGGAGAAGATCTTCGTGTTTATACGCGAGACGATCGCTCATTTATTTCTTATCGAATCTTATTATCGCTCTAAAAATAAAATCGATCTAACGCGTGGATACAATCTTGGCAGACTTATGAAGTTCCGAGACAATGTATGAAGAACCGTGGATACGATCTTGACACGTCTTTTATCTTCGGTTGCTTGCTTGCAGGCGTTGCATTTGTGCGACTGTCACAACTGTCATCGTGGGCCTAAATCCTCTGTTCTAGATCACAACTTTTATATTGCATTGTTTTCTGAAGTAATGCAACTTGAAAGCTCCGAGTCGGAAGTTCAGATATTCTGAAGGTACCAAGCTTCATAACTTTATTGTGCAGGTCCCAAATTCCCAGAGTCCCAACTTTCCAAACATTCTATGCTCCAAATTACCTACGTCT